AGAAGAGCCTTTGGTCACATCGGTTGCAAATCCCACTTCCACACTTGATTAGGTTCAGAACTTAAATCTCGCATGTGATTGGTCATTTGTAAAAGTATGTCAAACCGGTTTGGAAAATAAACATTATACTGTAAGCTAATTATAGTTATAATAGTTTAAACTACACCCAAACGTGGCATCATCTGCCCAACCGCAAAATATTCAACCCAACAATACACGAGGCCTAAAGCAAAGTGAAAACTGTCAGGCTGGACAGCCACAGCACATGTGCAAAAATGTTCGCTCGAACGTGCTGGCAACTGACCGAATGGAAAACGACCTTATTGGCCAGTTTCTTTTATGTGGGGCTATGAGCCAACATTTCAAACAGAAAAGAAAGATTTAATATTGTGTTACACAACGTTTAACCGACCGTCCGATAGTTGCTTGTGTTAGTCATAGAACTGCATGTCCGAAGGTGCCCTTTATATAGAAATGGTTAATTTTGTGAGGGGGTTTTTAACTATATTTTTCTGATAACCTTTTGGATAGTACAACCATTCGTGTTTACTCGCATGTTTTGTGATGTAGAATACAGAGATCCAGTGGAGTTGAAATCGTGGTTGCAATTCTGAAAAAATTGTTTTTGGCTTTTTTTCAGGAAAATCCTCCCGAGTGCAAACAGCAGTGAAAAAGAATTATATACCGCTTTAGCCAGCGAACTCTAGGCATGGTTATGTCGTGTACTTTATGTATTTTTCAATTATATATTTATGAATTTTGTAGTATACTGGTGGCAAAAACAGATATTATATTTTTGCTACGTAGGCCAATAGTAAATTTTAACCATCTGTCCGTTACTTGAGCTATCGGGTGATTTGCATAAAACTGTACTTAACGCTTTATACACTTTATACAGGGTGTATAAAAAGTTCGCCATTGTACAATGGTCTTAAACTGAAAACTACACAAAATGTCTGAAGAGTTTATGTAAATATGCGTATTTCAGAGTCTTCTTTTTTTCCTAATTCTGAAACTAGTCTTAAAATTTAAATCGCATTAAAAGCGGCTTGTGCACAAAAATGGAAGGTTAGAACACGATTTAAATCCATATAGGTAAAACTTGGCCTTTTTTCTTCAGTTAGCAATAATTTCACGTATTTTTATTTTTTTTATTATTTTTATAATAATTTCACGTATTTTTTTTATTTTTATTATTTTTTTCCCTGCCACTGTAATATGTACAAGGCGAATTAAATAAATAAATAAATAAATAAATAAATGAAACGTCTTAGAGGTCGCGCGGAGGAGCGAGCTTAAGATGAACGAAATCTACGACGCGGACGTGAAGAAAAACTGTAACTTTTCCCACAGTTTACTACACGGATAAAAATTATGGCCACAATCAGGGACACAAATAAAGCAAAATAAAACTGGATTCCAAACATTAGCAACGGTTTTTATGTCAAGTCCGCGTCGTAGATTTAGTGCATCTTAAGCTGGCTAATGTGCGTCGAACTACCCACTAGTACTAGTACTTTGATAACACTTTCCAGACTTGCAGGTTACGAATTCAACTTGTGTTTTAAACCTTCCATTTTAAACCTTTGCAAGCCACTTTTAATGCGATTTAATAAAATCAGCAATCCTGCATTCAAAAGTTAAAATTTTCTTATTAGTTTAAATACCTATATTTACACAGATTCTTCACTTTTCATGACCATTTTACTATAGTGAACTTTTTTATACATCCTGTATTGTACTTCGATCAAGTTCTCGTCCATGAGCGTACTCAATAGTAATCTTTTTGACAACACCGCATCACTCATGCTCAGGTTATTGATCAGCGGAGCTTAGCCAAGCTGCGACAGCCTGAGCAAGAGGTACTCCAGGGAGAAACATGGCCCACGCGAATCTTTTGGATGGGACGTTGGGCCGTTCATCCTCTCAACACTCTGCTGGCAACTGGGTGTGAATGGCGTATTTCTTGTCCATTTTGACTTATGTAGCCCTAGCTTATTTCATCACCATTAATTTACATATGTCCACAAACCGTGCATTATTACTCCGGCTACCGTATGTACCAGAGTATTAAAATGCAAGAGCCTGTCGTTTTCAACGTCGCAAATGCGACCTACGTTCATGGAGTTAAAAAATAATGGTATGAAAGACATCGCATTGCAGTCGCTCATCGCCTTACTGGTCTGGTTCCCAACGAATTACCAAACACACTGTTCTGCAATATACAAATCCAAATGTTTGCCACACGCCTGAAGAAGCGACTGGACAGCAAGCGTTTGCGAAACTCGCTACGTGTGGACCTTTTGAAATGGGACAGTTGAAGCAAATATTGTTTGAATAATGTACATTAATTTAAGGGTGTGTTCAAGCGGGAATGCGAGTTGACAATCACGCGAGTTTGGTAAACGCTATCATGTCTTCTATTTTAGTTAAAACATGGCTAGAAGTGTTCCCCTTAATACACTAACAATTTGCTACTGCCCACCCTCCTCAACTCTCATTCTCGTTTGAACCGGTCTTAATGCCGTCGCCTAATATCTCGCATTTCCCTAATAGCTCAATCGGGATACTTATGGTCATGTTTGTCGCGCCATCTGGAGAGTGTCAAACGAAGACCGGGAGTTGGCACAAAATCAAATTCGCTCCAAGAGACCCCACCTGGATGACCAAGTCGCTGCCATGCATGGGGTACAGTTTTTCATCTCCTGCATCACGATATTAAATGCATCCATACAACAATCTTTGGTCCCTACTATCTGGAAAAAAGCCGATGTTATTCCGATTCAAAAAGTAAAGAATTTAAATGATATTAGTACGGATTTGCGACCAATTTCTCTTACACCTACCTTAGCTAAAATATGTGAACGATTCATTGCCGATTGGCTGATGAAATCGATTATTCATAAGATTGATAAGCGGCAATATGGTTCACTAAAGAGATCATCGACACCTCGCGCACTTTTGAGCTTCATTCACCATTTACTCAGTAGATCCGATGAGCCAAAAAATGTTATAAGGATTTTCCTATTGGATTTCGCTAAGGCTTTTGACCATATTGACCATAAAATTTTACTTTTCGAAAACTATCTTCCATGGAAGTCCCACCAATTATAATTAGCTGGATTAAAAACTTCCTAACAGAAAGAGAACAACGTGTCAGGAGTGGCCTTTGTGTGTCCAAGTGGCAAAGAGTTGATGGCGGAGTGCCCCAAGGAACCGTACTGGGACCAATCCTTTTCTTGGACATAATAAACGACTTACTTAAAGATTGGCAGGACCGTTGGAAGTATGTCGACGATACTAATGCCACTGAATGTATCAGGCCAAATTGCCCATCTCGCCTTCAAGATGTTAAGTGAATGACGTCACTACTTGGACTATTAATAATAACATGAAACTTAATATTTCCAAATGCAAAGAGCTAATAATCGATTTTGCTAAAGATAAAAGATCTTTCGAACCCCTGACTGTGTCTGGTAACCCAATTAAGCTCGTCGAATCGGAAAAGATTTTAGGTCTCGTGGTCCAAAATAACTTAAAATGGAATCTACACGTGGATAATATCGTTAAAAAGTCGAGTAAACGACTGTATATGCTGAGGTTACTAAAACGGTCTAACGCGGATACGAAGACTTTGATTGCTGTGTACATTACTATAATAAGACCGATACTTGAGTATGCTTGCCAAGTGTGGCATTTTAACATTCAAAATTTTTTATCTGAAGACTTCGAACGAATCGAGAAACGCGCACTAAAGATCATTGTCCCCTTTTCAAGTTATGGCGAGGCATTAAAGATTACGGGTATCACTACACTGTACGACCGGCGTAAAAGCCTTTGCGACCAATTCTTTAGACAAAACATGAATAATGATAAAATGACGGACTTGTTTTTTAGATCCATATACATCAAATTATGAGTTAAGATTACCACGTAAAATTAATAATTATGTCTGCAAAAGGGACCGCTTCAAACAGTCCTTTTTTTCCCCCAAATGATTTTCAAAAAGAATAGTAGGATTATAACCTAGTTATTTTAGTATTTAGCCATCACAATTTATTCTTATTGTAATATAGTTGTAGTATAATATTTTTTAGTCGTAACTTCATGTTGCTAAGAACTTCTGTAATTTAACCTTTTGGTTACAAAAGAGTTCATTTTTAATAAATAATAATAATAATAATAATAAAGATAGTTGAACAGAACGCCACGCGACCAAAGTCAGACGAGGGGGCAGTGGTGGTCCGAGAATTTAACCAGGTGTGGCGTTTTTCGCGAAACATCAAAGTGTACAAAGGAGACAATATTCGTCGCACTTCACGACGCTGATATGAGCCAATACTAAGCGAGATCAAGGCACGTAACAGCGGAGGTCTAACACAGGTTGAAACAGCAGTACGCAAGATTGCACAGGTTGTCAAAGATCACAACAACGAAAGAAAAGAGGACGAAAACATCTATCGACGGACAACGAACGCCCAAATACCTTGTCGGCTTGTTGTCGCTGAACAAGCTTCGTATGATGGACCACTGAAGCTGTGAGTTAGCTATCTATACAAAACGGCCATTTTACGTGACACTGAACTCGTGATGGTGCGCTGCCATCACGAACTCCATCGTGGATTCGTGCGCGCCAAACCCACGAAACCAACGCTGATGACATGAAATCATCAGCAAAATCGAATTCCATCCCGACTATATCGAGGTTAGTGGTGGACAGTTTTTCCGAATCTCGACGCGTTCTTTACGGAATGACCACCACGCCTGCTTTTCATGGGTAAGATTCCGCCATGGACTATCAACGTAACGTAGACTAGACGTGTACTCTGTGCTCCGCTAATTTTATACTATATAACAGGGCGCTTATATCTGCCTAGCTTAATTTACTAAGCATGGCAGTAAATCTGTGTACAAATATAAAAGTCATTGGAGAAAAGCTTTATTGGGGCGGTACATTAAACGATTTGAAAGAATTGTGTCAAATGAATTGAAATTTTCAGGCGGATGGACGTCGCCTGGCGGTGAAGTCAAGCTGTTCACTAGTGATACAGCGAATGTGAGTTTGAAATGGCATAGTAAAACCACGAAATCGATTACCCTGTGTGGAGATTCAATAGAAACGAACGATCTATGTAAGTTATTGTCGTCTATGTCTGAAGAAAAACCCGAGAATCTGGTAAACGATCCTGTTAAATGGCAAGGCTTCGATGATTTCAAACAGCAAATGTTGGAATTCACTGAAAACTTGAACACGAAAATGGAAAGCCTTAGAACTGAGGTGAATCAATTAATATTTAAAGTTGATCCGTTGCTTACTTCAGAGAACGTCGTTGATGAGCTAAGGAACGACAAACTATTAAGTCTCTGAGTTGCGCGAGAAAATACTGAACCTTAGTCTTACTACATCAGACCTGAAAACTAAAGTAAAAGATCTTGAACGTGAAAGAGACAGTTTGATAACAGTACTTAAATTATTAATCCACGATTAACGACTCGACGGAACTTGTTATATGATGCAGTCCGACTTAGCTAAAGCGCTCCTGCAAGGTGGATGGTTGGTAACGGCAGTCAAACATGAACAGCCTAAGTGCGTTTGAAATGCATTTTAAAATCGGGAAGTTGTGACTTCAAAGCTTAGTTCAACTATCGTGATTCCGATTAGCCTTTTACGATAACATGATTTCACAAACAAAAATATTATAAATTTTAAGCTTTTGATGATATTTGGGGAAAATATAAAGAAACGTAGAATTGAAATAATTTCTTTCTTATTTCTATGCACTAACACGTTAACACGAATTAGTTCATATTTGTGCGGATATCTATTGTTCTCAATAGGGTTTTATTTGGGTAAGAATCTAAAAGCAAGGGGAGGGATTTGATATCTCCACAGGGAAAAGCGGGGTTGATGAATAGAATTGAATG